CTTGATTAGTAGCCACCATTTATATGGGAAATAATCAACATAAGAATCATTATGCATGTCACACTATAAATTGTCATCGTTCATCACTAACTATTATCTTCAACACCATTTTTAATTATAATAATCAGTCATTATAATTATTGGGTATATATATATATATGTTGTGAACGAAATATGTTTATTTTGAGTTTATTAAAAAATAATTTGTACTTTACATTGATATTTTTAAAATTAAATATGTTGTATGAGTTGCTCTTATGATAGTAATTAAAAAAATAATTTATACTTTATATCAATATTCTTTGAATTAAATATGTTATATGAGTTGCTTTTATGATAGTAAATATATATATGAGAGTCAGTTTTATAACGAAAAATATGTTAGTTTTAAGCCATAAATTGATACATATACTCAAATCATTTACATTGTATACATTCAAAAAATAACTGCGAGTTTCCTTTATCATAAAAAAAAAAGTTATCAAATGTTTTTTCCTTTTTTCAATTTTATCATCAATGGCTCAATGTTTTTAGTTTATATGTACAAAAATTAAGTAAACATAAAATATGATATATTTTAAATTTCCAACAATTAAATACTATTTATTAAAAGCACATCAAGAGGCATTACTTTTAGTAATACCTCATTTGTTTTGATCAGGATTGAGGTGTACAATCTAAATACACATTTGAATATTAAGATGTGCATTAAGATTTAGATGTGTAAATTTGGATAATTATCTTAATATTAAGATGTTGTTTCTGAATATGAACACTTAATTATTGGGACTATTTATTTTCAATACCTAAATGTGCATATGAAATTAAACTTATATCAATAAAATATTATAAAATCTCATTTTAGTAAAATAGTTTTTTTAAAAAATATAAAAGAAAATATTTTGAATATTTTTCTCGTAACAAGGTAATATGATTTATCTTTTAAGAATTTTAAATTAAGTTACATCATTAATATGACTATTAATTCCACTCAAAAACTTTTACAATCTAATATAATGCAATATAAAATAATAAAGTAGTAATATGATGTTTATGAAAATATTTTATTTTATAGTAGACATTGTTATTAACTTAGTATTATCAATCAAATAAATAATACTTTCATATTTTTTGAAACCGTAGTAAATATTATTATATCATGGAGTACTTATTTTAATTCAAATATATTGATTAATTTGTGAAAATAAAAGACATATATTAAATTTATAAAAATAAAGAAAATTATAACGGTAACCATGTAATAAACATTATTTAAACAAGAAAACAATTTCTATGAGTTGTAATGTAGTTGAATTAAGATAGGAACCTTATTTTTGAGTCGAAATGGTGTTAAGAGTGTGTTACAGATCTGATTCATTTAGATATATCCAGACATTATAAGAAAATAAAACACTTAATGGGGCAAATATAAATAATTAAAATTCAGATTCTCATTAAATGCAAACAAATGAGGCCTAAACGTTTATTGACTTTCACTATCTCCTAATACTAATTTACGTAACATTCTTTAATTTTTTAAAAACTAATAATTAAAAGTATATATATAAAAAAAAAATTATTATGATTAACAATTTCAAAAAGTTAAAGAGATATATAAGAAAATTAATTGACTCTCACGAGTTTAACTATGCAAATTATTTCCCCCAATTTGTTGTTGAAACTGTTGCCATATAAACAGAGGCATAACAAGGGGATTACTGAATTTACGTAAATTTATATTCTCCTGTCATGATTATATATAGTAGTATAATAATTTTTAAAATACTGAAATTTAGATATGTGAACCTACATTTGGAGTATCACATAATGTATAATGATTGGGTGCATACCTCGCGTAGAGGTTAGAAATTTAAATTTATATTTATCTTCTTTTTTTTTTTTACAAATAGATAACACTTCTCTAAGTGGTAATGTGTAGTATTTTTGATATTTTAATTAATTAATTCAATATATGTATATAGATCATTGATCAAATCTATATCTTAGATCACTTTTTTTGTAAAATTATATCTATTATTTCAAAATTTTAAATACGTCTCTGCATATAAGATCGTTAATTTACCTTTATTTATAAGAGGGATTAAATTCTTGTCGACTACCAAAGAAAGAAAAAATTAAATTCTGGTCCTTATATTATCATAGCATTGCCAACCCCTACAATAAGGGTTTGTTTGGTTTGATAAATTATATTATATAAAAATTACAACGTGACAAATTAATGATATATGGATTAATATTAGTTTAATATAATTTTTAAATAATTTTGATTTGTTTGGATTCGAGTTTGGCGTTCTTAGTATGGATCTGATTTAATAAACTACATTTTTTTGAATTATAAAATGAGTTACTTTTGTTTAAAAAATTTAAATGAGTTGTTTTGTCTTTTTTTTACTTTAAAAAAAGGGGACATGCTTAATATCAACATTAATATTATTTTAGTACTATTATTCTAATATCAAAAAACGTGGTAGCCTCAATAATCCTAACTTAGAGTTTGGATTAATTTATTTTGAATGTTTTTAAGTTAAAATAATTTTTACGTAATTTTGAAGTGCTATAAATATCTATTTTAGGGGTCATTTGATATGAGCGACAGAACGAGTAGTAATGAGATAATAAAATAGTGATAAGATAAAGTTTTTGTATTTTGCTTGGTTGCCCCTACTTTTTAGTTTTTGATTTAAAAATCATTTCAATTTGATTTATTATTTTCATTTAAAAAATTATTCTTTAAAGTCAATTCAAACAGAGTCACATATATATGAATTATTTTGATTAACAATTTCAAAAATTTAAGAAATATATAAAAGAATTAATTGGCTCTCGAAATTTTAATTGTGAATATATTATTTGTTGTTGAAAATGCGCCATATAAGCAGAGGTGTACCCATGATAGGTCACCGTGTTCACGCAAAAGTATGGTCTCCTCCCGTGATCATATATAGTAGCGTTATATTTTTTAAAAAAGGTTAAATATTGAAATATAGATATGTGAACCCACACTTGGAGTATCACATAATGCGATAATGTTTGGGGGTACACCTCTATCGTGAGGTTAAAAATTTAAATTTAAAATTTTATATTTATCTTGTTTTATATTTTCTTTCTAAATAACACTTCTCTAAGTGATAATGGTAGCACTTTTGACATTTAAATTAATTTAATATATGTATATAGATTATCGTTCAAATTTATATCTTAAATCATTTTTTTTTTATAATAATACACTTATTGTCTCAAAATATGTATCTACAAGGGGTTGTTTGGTTTGAAAACTCATATTATAAAAATTATAATGTGACAAATTAATGATATATAGATTATTAATTTCATCTTATTTTTAAAAAATTTAATTCAATTAAGATTCGATTTTTGATTTTTGGCGTTCTTAGTATGGATCTGATTTAATAAACTATGTTTTTCGAATTATAAAATGAGTTACTTTTGTTTAAAAAAATTAAAATGAGTTGTTTTTTGCTATTTTTTTACTTTAAAAAAATGAGCCATGCTTAATATCAACATCATATTATATTAGTTTTATTATTCCAATTATTATCACCAAACGTGGTAGCCTCAATTTTCCTAACTTAGAGTTGGATTAATTTATTCCACATGTTTTAAAGTGAAGACGTTATTTGTCGTTTTCAAGTGCTACAAACATTTTTTTATTATCAAAATAATAAAAATATGATCGAACTCATAAATAAATTTCTAAATTTAGGTTTTTTCATTTAGGTATTCAGTTACGTCATTTTTGTATTGAATCAATAAATCATTCGTAATTTGTTCTTTTTAAACACTATTGGTTAATGTGGAATCAGATTTTGTGAGGAATATTAATAGATGTTACATATGTTGTTTCAAAACTCATTAGCCCAGTTAATAGTGATACTGTTCGAGAATAATTGTATTTTTCTTCAAGTCATTTGAACACAAATTAAATGAGATTAACACACGATTTATCTTCAGTCCTTCAATCAAAATCACTATAATACGAAGAAAATTGAAGGCATCTACAATAGAAAAATTAATCGTGTTTAAATAAACAAAATATGAATGGTTATACAATTCAATAAGAAAATAATATAGTTAAAATATCTGAGAGAAAACATCCAACAAATTAAAAAGTTTGTTTATGTATTTAGCCTAAAAAATAAGCTATGTTATTTAAATTATGAAATGTGTTACTTCTTTAAAAAAAAATTTATCAAGAAATATTTTGTATTTCTTTACTTTAAAAAAAATTAGGAAACGCTGAATACTAATATCATATTATATCAATATTTTAATAATGTTAGAAAGTATAGTTAAAGATTATTATTAAAACTCACCATTAAATATGTTAATTCATTAAATTTTCTTTTATTCTAATACATCCTAAAATGGTAGCCTCAATATTCCTAACTTAGAGTCGAAGTAATTTATTTCGTATATTTTTAAGTTAAAATAATTTTTACGTAATTTTAAAATGATATAAATATTTATTTTTAAATAAGTTTTTAATTTTGATAAGTCTTCAATAAATTGTAAAAATAAATTAAAATAAGTTGGAAAGTGTTTAAATAAAATAAATCAAAAATAAAAAATAGCTCAGTCTGCTCCTACTTTTTTTTTTTACTTAAAAATTCATTTCAATTTTTTTTTTAATTTAAAAAATTATTTTTTAAAATCAATCCAAACGGACTCTAATCAATGACAGATCCATCTTGAACTAAGGTAAACTCTCTTCACGATAAATTATATTATTTATATATAGTTGATCTATTTTTTTTATATATACGTAGTAGATATCGAACCCAATTTGATGACTTCGTATGTCTATTTTTACAAATTTGAACTTTGGTTCCGCCACGGACTCTGCGTGATACGTGGCAGCTTTAAAATGTTAGTGACCTTTTCAGTTTCAGTGAACAAACTGTGAGATTAGCAGAACCCATATCACTGTTTCAATTAGCATGTGTATAAATAGAATCAAATTTTTTTTAAGCCAATTACTAATCCACCCTTTTCACTTACTCTGTATCTCCAGCTAACTTTTAACCAAAACAGCCATGGCGGCGACGGCGACGGCGACGGCGGCGGTGTCGCAGATTCCATTGACAGGGATGAGGAAGAACAGTTTGTTACCAGCATTGATTAATCCAGCTTCGCCTGGAAGAACCGGTAGCCGGAATATCAGTTTCGGTTTTAAAAATGTTTTGCCGGTAAATGTTATAGCGAGTAGTAATGGAAGTGGTAGTACTGATAATGGCGCTGTTTATGTTGCACGTACAGCTCCAGTAACTCCTTCTTCGCCTGCTAGCTCTCGGTGAGTAACAATTATGCATATTTTGTCATTGTTGGATGCATTTGAAGTTGTAGTTCGTTCGGAGCGTTTGTTTGGATATTGGTTATTTTATGATTGATGAGTTGTTTGGAGCTTGATAAGAGAAAATTGGAGGTAGTTTGGGTCAATAAAACTAGAAATTTGAATATTACTTTCAAAAGGTTGTTCCTTGCTTTCTATTGAATCATTTTGCATTAGGAAACATGGTTCTAGTTTAATTCCTTATAAGTTTCCTTGGAGATAATTTGTGTTCTAGAAAATAGCTATTGATTAATGGAAATGGTTATTTTGATTTGTTTGTCAATTTTATGTTTGTTTCCATGTATCTATTATATTAGGGGTTGTCCATAGGAATATTTGAATTAAAGTAGTTTATGATTGTTGTGATGGTGACACTCATTTTGTGGAGTATTAGGCTTTTTTTTTTTTTCATTTTTGATTAGTAAACTACACAAGATTCCAATTATTTTGGCTTTGCTATCTCCTTATCTAATTGCATGAGTCCATTTGATGTTGTTCCAGGTATAATATAACACTTTCTTGGTTATTGAACTTTTTGACCCAGTCTTCTGATTCCAATGGAAGAATTAAGCCTCGAACAGTAAAAAGTGTTACTATCTTGCTGGAGTAACAGATTTTCGTTGTCAAAAGATCAGCTTTTTAACCAACTGACTTATAAAAGGATGAAACTTTCTCGTATATATAATGAGTTTTTTGTACATCAGTCTTCTACAACCCTTTGTATCGGGTATTCCCTTCCCCCATATTTATTCTTTTTGAACTTAATTCAAAGTGGAAGAAGGCTGCCAAATGGATAGCATGGCAGGTCCAGGACCATTTGAATTCTAGTTGTACAATTGACCAGATTTGGTTATTTCGAAAAATTAGTTTTCTATACTATTCAGATATTGATAGAATTATCAAAGAATTAACCTTCTTTACTTTTTGATGGTTACCATGAGTTATATAGAGATTGTTTAATACATTGGCCTCATGTAGTTGTTATTCAATGTTTATATATTACCAGGGTGAAAAGTCACACCATATCAGTATTTGTTGGGGATGAAAGTGGCATAATCAATAGAATTGCTGGAGTTTTTGCTCGAAGGGGTTACAATATTGAGTCACTTGCTGTTGGTTTGAACAAGGATAAAGCTCTTTTTACCATAGTGGTCTCAGGAACTGAGAAGGTCTTGCAACAAGTTGTAGAGCAGCTCAACAAGCTCGTGAATGTCTGGAAGGTTAGTCCTATCTTCTGAAATATCAGGTTGTATTTCGTTGTTGATCTTCTTAAAATGTTCTATCTGGGTTTTCAAGCTATGTTTGCTTTGACTCTTCAAAAATTTTAACGGATGCGTGTCAAATTCCCCAGAAGTAGTGTATTTTTGGAGAATCTAACACCGGCATGGAATCAAAAGTAAAAAGTCCACACAACTTAGTTTCTAAGGATGTCTTTCTAATGGGAAGGTGCCAATTTGATATATTTTACAGGATATATTGTCTGCAGTTGTGTGTTTGTGCCAATGGCATGACTGTTCACTCACATATCAATTACCCGTTTATACATTGCTGTCAATTGATCCCCTGTTCTTTTTAAAGCATCTGTGATTGTTATACTTGTAGGCAATCATCATTAACAGATGTTCTTTGAAATGTTTGGTAGAGGAAGCGCTGATTTGTAAGTTAACAGTAGGCTTGCATACTTAATTTTCCTTTGCCTTGACATGCAAAACGTCAAAATAATTGGTAATTGTTATTGGTTTCTAATTCTTCAATGTCCTTTCTCATTGACTCAATGGATAAGTTAAAGTAGTACCTTAAATATCTTTGCACTTCAAAAAAAAAAGAAGAAGAGTTACATCCTTAAATAAATTCTTCTTCAGTGAGACAAAATTATGTCTAACTTGTATTCAGTTGTCATAAAACAGATCACCCTTACCAAATTATTTTGGTATGATGTTTCAGGTGGAGGATCTGTCAAGAGAACCACAAGTTGAACGGGAGTTGATGCTCATAAAACTGAATGCAGACGCAACCACAAAAGCTGAAGTATACTAGACACCTCTTGCTTTTCGTGCTTAACTTTGCTCTATATCAGAAATATTTCTAAATCGATGAGCTGGGTCAATCTCCCTATTGATTACTCTTTAGACCCCAAGTTGTCGCGGGGTGGGGGGTGGGGGCTTTATTCGATTTTAATCTCTGACATACTGCAGTTAGCATATTAATCCCATTTGCAAGAGACAATCCCTCTAAGTCTGTTTACCTGCTTTAGTAATGAAATTGATCAAATAGGAAATAAAGAGCTGGAATTCTTTCCTAAAATTTTTTTCTTAAAGAAGTGCTGGAATTCTATTAAATAAAGAAGGATCTAATTTCATGAAGATCCATTGTAAACGAGAAAACGAGGTCCTCTCCTTTTAGGCAGTAATTTGAATGCACACAATATAAAGTTCTTAAGGTTCCTCGTTCTTTAGCTTCCCATCTTTTAGTTACAACGTATATAGAATGAACAGTGTATAAATTGTTTAAGTCATTGATTATGACGTGCCAGATTTTCTTCTCGTCTGACTCTATGTACTTTCTCATTATGTTTTACTTTGATACTCAGATCATGTGGTTAGTGGACATCTTCAGAGGAAAAATTGTGGATATATCAGACCACTTTCTGACTATTGAGGTGACTTCAATCTTCTTTCCCAGCTTTTACATGTCATTTGAATTGTTTAGAGTCTTGCCTTGGGGTCTGATGCATGGTAGTACTTGATCACTGATTGTTTTAGCAACTTAATCACACAACACTATTGAAGATCTTAGATTCATCTGTTACAAAAAACTTTGCATATACTAATGTGATGAGTGAACAATGTGCATAATTTCATGGTGCCAATCAAGTTCTTGTGCTCTTTTAAATATAACAATCAGATTTATTCTCTTGTGGTTGGCTTAGGTAACTGGTGATCCAGGGAAGATGGCTGCCGTTCTGAGAAATTTAAGCAAGTTTGGGATTAGCGAACTAGCCCGAACTGGAAAGGTACATTTTCCATGTTTGAAACGACTGATATATTCTAATTTTGGCATATATGCCTAAATGGGTTTGATGATTTTGGTTACCATGTTCTCTGATTGCATCGTTCTACCTTATATAAGCCAGTAACTTTTTCCAGACCAGCTGTAGTGATCGAGGTTGTATGTGCTCTTAAAGGTTTGGTTCTGATAAATGGATACTAAATTAAATAACTGACTAAAGTTTGAGGAGTCACAGATTCCTTAGTTTATTTGTTATTAATCAGATGTTGTCTCAAATGTTTAATATTAAGGGTTTTCTTACAATAATACCTTGATTCTAGTGTACTGGATGACTCACTCTATGCTATCAAGTAGTTATCTTTATTTCCAAAGATAAAAGGAAGAAAGCACTAGGGATGATGTGTTGTTGTTGTGTATTGATCTTTATCACCACAGATTGCTTTGAGACGAGAAAAGATGGGTGAGGATGCTCCTTTTTGGAGGTTTTCTGCAGCTTCTTATCCAGATCTCGAAGAAAAACTTCCCAGTATCCTGAACAACAAAAGTCGACCAATTGACAATGGAGCCAGCAATGATCCCGGGGTATATTATGTTCTCAAACTCCTCGTGGTTTAATTCATCTTCATGCATATTTGGTATCTGATTGTATAATATACACTGAGCCTCTGTGGAGATGGATATGCTTGAGAGTCCCTGAATCTCTTGTGGAAACTGGCAGTATCTTGCTACATGTTATGAGTCTAATTTCATTTTACTTGCTTATTAAGAATGTCTTTTCTAGTTTCTATTCCCGACTTATCATTATTTTTCCCTTTGGATGTGATATTCATGGACTACTTGTTGATCTTAAGTCATTACCTACAGTAAGCTTCTTGTTGATCTTAAGTCATTACCTACACTAAGCTTTTTGTTGATCTTAAGTCATTACCTACAGTAAGCTTCTTGTTGATCTTAGATTCTCGGATCATAAGAGTTAACTTGCTGATTGCTAACAAATGAAGTGCAATCTTGATTCTACATTTCTCTTTCATTTCAAAGGCATCATATCTTGTCAAAACAAATGTCAACCTTGTTTCAGTTTATTTGTTAGATTTCAGGAGGCCATCCATAATTCATTATAAGATTAAGTTATCAAGATAAAGAATTAATGATAGTCCATTGCTGTGTAAGCTGAATATTATGCTCACATTTCTTCTGATCTATGGTTCTATTTATGATGGTTTAAGGTGTTGAATCTTAATACTGTGAATTTACATCAGTTTTAGCCAAAAAAACTTTAGGATATATTTTTACGCTCCAATTTAAACCTGTGCAGGTGTGAGAATTTCTCTTTGATTTTCTTGCTGTGTTCAATTTAATCCGAAGTTGCAAATCTTCTTCTTTTGGTTTGAATATAGGGTGATGTTTATCCTGTGGAATCCAGTGATGAAATCTCAGTTAATCAAGTTCTCGATGCCCACTGGGGATATCTGTATGATGGAGATGTAAGGACCCTATCTACTTCTCAAGATCTATCTTTTTATCTCTGTATCTTCCGTGGAGAAACCTATATTACTCCATATCTGCGTTGAACATATGGTAGTCTGTAAACTACTGAGCCTTCTAATAGATGAAAAGCTTAATTTTTCTTTCCAAAATTGAGAAAGACTGCTGGAAAAACTGAGTACATCCTTTTCCCAAATTCCATATCCTAAATTCACTTTCCCAAGACGGACCTTTTTGTTAAACCAAGTATTAATTAATCAAAGTGCATTGTTCGATTAGATAAGAACTGTAGTCTTAATTAATAGAAGTACCTTATGGAGGCCATTTTGCCAATGTGGTTCTCTTTGTTCCCTCTACATGCTGCAAATCCGATGATCATTTTTATACTGCAGTTGACTGGGATTCGATCACACACATTAAGCATGCTTGTCAACAATGCTCCTGGGGTCCTAAATTTGATAAGTGGTGTTATATCTCGACGAGGGTATAATGTTCAGGTTGCTTTTTCCACTGATTCTTGCTGCTTCCCCTATAATTTCTCTTCCTCTTGATTTTGTCGTCTGAGCTTCATTTCAATGATTATGTTGCAGAGTCTTGCTGTAGGCCCTGCAGAGACAGAGGGGCTTTCACGTATTACCACAGTGGTCCCTGGAACTGATGAAACCATAGGGAAATTGGTCAAGCAATTTAACAAGTTGATAGATGTTCATGAGGTAAAGTTACAAGTTGATAGATGTTCATGAGGTAAAGTTACAAGTTGATAGATGTTCATGGGCTAGCTACAAGCTGATTTTGAGATGATTAGGTGCTTGGGGATGAGTTTACCTACCACGGTAACTCAATATACTTTGTATAAGAAGGATCCAAACTAGTTTTACTATTTGTTGGAATTTCTTTACTTTTCCAAGCCGAGGGTCTAGCGGAAACAACCTCTCTACCTCCCAAGGTATGGGTAAGGTCTGCGTATACACCAACCTCCTCAAACCCCACTTGTGGGATTAAACTGGGTATGCTGTTGTTCCCTTAAGTTGATCAATGATCTGATAAGCGTTTGCCTTCAGTTTTTTAAAGTTCCCACTATATTTCTTGAAGTTGGCGTCTTTTGTGCTCAACCTTCGCAGTAGTGCACTTAACCTTGTTAATCGTTCAGACTCATTGCACTTTGCCAACTCTATTGTAGGTTTTCTAAAACTTAAAAGATAGCGAGTACTGTACTTTCACCTTTCCCTTACCATTAAGGTCATAGTTTATAAGACCACCCTTCTCAATGAGAAAATGCTTGTAGATCGATACAAAATTTTCATCTTGAATGAGAATTTACTCTCTAAGAAGTTCCACTTTTCTCATATATGTACTAACATCTTGTTCATTGAGGTTGTTAGATCATACATATAATACAGGTGTGCTCGTTTTTTAGGTTCGAGATATAACTCATTTGCCATTTGCTGAGCGGGAGCTAATGCTCATTAAAGTAGCCTCCAATGCAGCAGCAAGGAGGGATGTCCTTGATATTGCCAGTATTTTCCGTGCTAAACCTGTTGATGTGTCTGATCATACAGTAACATTGGAGGTGATCTTTTATTGTCAAGTAAATTTGGAGATGAAAATTAGAAGAAACTGTTTTTTTGTGTGTGTTTGGCTCTTTTCATGTTGTTACTTATACTGGTATGCTTGCATACTGTAAAAGATTGCATTTTTATTTTTGATTGCTTTAGACCCTTTCTTTACATGTTCGCTCTAGCGGTTTGTTCCTCCACCCAATCATTAATTCGCACATGTTATTGACATACTATTAACGTACTTGGCCAGTGGTGTGGGGAATAAGCAGGATTTTGCTCAAGCAGTGTCTGTTATTGTCACAGTATCACTTTTAAATGGTTTTAAGTATGGGAGTTTGTAGTTTTAAGGCTTTACTTCTGGTCTATGATAGTTGTTTTTGTATTTTTCCAAGCGGTGTTAGTTTATTGTGTGTGTGTATATATATATTTATACATTCATATTGCTTTGGTAAAAGGTATTATTTACACACATTCAAAAGAAAGTTCTTTGGGAAATGATGTTGGCTTACACCCCTTACTAACCCCTGTACATGACTGAATATATCTGAATTTTCCTTGTCACGGGTAACCCTATCATAAATGAAAAGGAATGCTCATGTATACTTGTGTCGTGTCTTCCCCGGATCCCCCATTGACTTCTCGTTGATTGCATGTACATTTTGCAGTTGACTGGAGACTTCAACAAGCTGTTGGCATTGCAAAGATTACTGGAGCCTTATGGCATTTGTGAGGTTTGTTTTCCCAAACTGAATTTTGGCTTCTCAATTCGTATAGGCTGGCATCTTGAAAGTGTTAAATCCTGATTTTTGTCAACGCATAGGTTTCTATAATTAAAATAGTTCTTATCGATGTGATAATTTTGTCATTTTAGTCCCACATTGTCATTCTTTTGGTGTAGGTGGCTCGTACAGGGCGGGTAGCATTGATACGAGAATCTGGTGTGGACTCAACGTACCTCCGGGGTTATGCTCTTCCTCAATAGTGTTAATTAAACTCTTTTAAGTGTATTTTAATACATCGGAAACAACCTCTCTACCTGCACAGGTAGATATATGTAGGGTAAGACTGCATACACACCACCCTCCCCATATCTCACTTGTGGGATTATACTGCGTATGTTGTTGTTGTCGAGTTTCTTTCTTTCTGACCTTTTCTGGTCTGAGAAATGAAGAGTTCATCTGTGTGCTATTTCTAGTTCTAGTGTACTTGTATTATTTAGGCATTCATTAGAAAGAACTCCAGACCGTGGAGTAGAGCTTAACAATGAAGTTTGAGTAATGTTGTAAACTAATTATGTGGAATGTATCATTTGGATGTTTTTATTAATACATGAGTTTAAGTTATATGAACGGATAGTGTATCGTCTTTTTACTTTATTCACTTTTTTGTGTCGAAGACTGCACAAAATAGCGCGCTAAAAAGTGGTTTTTACCTAGAACTCAATTTATTTATTGACATATTGTTCTAAACTTACATGCAACAAAAGGATTTATGTGGACTTCTTAATACTCCCATCGTTTGTCATAGTTTAACTTTGAAAAACCTGCATTCAGGTTGACAATGCAATCAATTTGGTGTGATGATCTCACTGTTACAATTGATTTAGGTTAAAGCTTAATTTCTACGTTAACATAACGATGCGATCAGTCCAAATTAATTGTCACATAAATTGAAACTTTTCATTATTACTTATCAATGAATTTAAATGATATGATATAATAAAATATAAATAACAATTAAAATAAATTTATATTTAAACTAACAATACAACACAACACGTAAAACAATCCACTAAACAATGTATAAATCACAACTCAAACAAACGTATCAATACATTTTTTTAGTACTACATATGTATGTTTTAATACTAGATACATTTATTTTTTTTTCTACCAAATACTTCAATAAATACATCTTTATTCACAGATACACTAATAAATATATTCATATGTTTTTTTTTATACTAGATAAAGAAGGTGATTATCAAAACTAATCAGGATCTAAACGATGTCGTTTCTGACCTTCTCTTTTTTTCTTTAAAAAAAATAGTATTGAAATTATTAAAGAAAAATACTGAAAGATAAAAAAAAATGAAAAATAAAAATTCTGGGTCTCTAGATCCCCACTGTCCCCCATCGGTTGCCGTTGCCGGTCATCGGAGTTAATCACGACAGAAAATGTAAATTCCGTTCTTCTATCTCTACAATTACTTTTTTTTTAGAGAGATAAAACATCATAAATGCAAATTTGGATTTTAAAAAATGAAGTTTAGCTGTTGAAATTGCCTATTCAAATGCTTTTGTGAATGAACAGTTATTTTTTTAAAAAAATTTCTGTTATGTATATATTTTTTGTGTTTGTTTCACAGTTTTGAGCTCAGTTTTTGTGCGAAATGGTGATAAAATGTGGAACTGAAAGTGAAAAGGAGATCAGTTATAGATGTGTTCAGTGTGGATTCTCAGTTACAACTCTTTACATACAGTACTCTCCTGGCAATATCCGTCTCATGAAATGCGTATTTTTTCTTACCTTACCTTTGAATTTCATGAACAACATATAATTCTTACTCGTTCTGTTTCAATTCGTTTGTATGGTTTTGACTTGATAAGTGTAGTTTTAAGAAAGTTTATAGAAGATTTTGAATCTTGTGGTCTAAGGGGCTTTTGGCCATGAAAATTGCCAGTATTTGAAACAAGTAGTAATTTTTATTTTCAAAGTGAAAAGTGATATTCGAAACTAAAGATACATAGCATTGTACCAAAATGTCTTATAATCTTGTGGTGTTAAAGATGTAATGTGGAAAGTTAGAATCAAAGAATTGCCAAAAAAGGAAAGAGCTTTTTTTTTGAAACAGAAAGGAAACTAAGACGGAAATTAGTGGAGTATCATTTTTTTGGGATCGAGCTGTTGGCAGAGCGGAGGTGGATCTTGGGTTGGGAGTTTATGGGTTTGTACAATGATTTCAACTTAATGTATGATTATAATGGTTCATAGTCAGAATATTTTTAGCTATTCGGTGTGAATATTTTAATATATAGAGTTTGAGAAGCTAATGGCTTCGGTGAACCAGCATGAACCATGCTGGACCTGTTCCTGCCCGTAGGAGTTTATATCCAATATATAGAGTGGGTTTTGTAACATTGATTTGGATGCTTATCTTTGTGCAGGGAAATTGCAAAGCAGTTGCTGATGAGTACATTGAATGTGAACTTATGGTAATTGATACAAAAAATGAGTTTGAAAAGAAAAAGAGAGAGATAGAACACAAGTTATATGTATAGAGTTCATTCTTGGTTTAGTTCCTAATTGTTTTTTTGGAATGTAGATATTGGTCATTGACTTGATTTTGCATAAAATTAAAGCCTACAGACACTTGTTCTACAATAGGTTCTCGAGAGAGACTTTGCATAATGAGGTACTTCTGTATTTCTAGTTCATTATTTGTTGTGTACAAGTAGACATTGCATTACAAACTCATTTTTTGTTATCGTTTGATTGTTTTTTGTTCCTTTATGCAGGTCTTGTTGTGGAAATTATCTTTGGGTTTCCTGATTTTAGATGCTTGTATCCTTCTAATCTCTAATTCATATTCACCGATATCAAGTGTTTATCTATATTTTGTGTATTTCAACATTTTAACAAATTATTATACATACTTTTTCTTTTGAAAGGCTAAATATTATTGATATAGCACAAAGATTGCGTCGGAGTACACCAAAAGTTCAATAAACAACAAAAAATGGAAAGCCCTCTATTGCAAGCTATCTGCGGACCGTAATAAGGTTTCCACATCATTTACAAAATCCATCCTGATCCTACTAGATAACAAAGATATAAACGCACAGATTTGATCCTCAAAGTATTGTTCGCTTGACCTTCAAAAACTCTTCTGTTCCTTTCCTTACATATGTAGAAAGTTACTCTTTCTTTGTTGACTAGATATTGCAATATGTAATCCTTTAGTATTGCATTGGAAGCATACCTAGTGATGGTTTAGTACACCTCTTGGACCTTTGATAATTTGAAGAAATAACTATTTCTTGCAAGTTTCTCTAACCAACTATTTGCAATTACAAATAAGGTGTGTAAATTTTAATTCTGAAGTCTTTCTCCTTGACATGGTGTTTGATTATTTCCAATTAGAAGTGTGCTTATCTTCCCTTCTTTATTTAAAAAATAATACTCTCTCTTCTTGTGAATGTGATTTTAATCTCGGGACAATGTATTAAACTACTGACCTTTATTGAACTAATAAAAGAATCATAATTCTAGTTCAGTGGAATAGAATTCAATGGCAGTTCTCTGTTCCTAAAGGGAGCAGCCTTTAAGGCATGCATTGTTTAATGGCCTTAACTAGTAAAGACCAAATGTTGGCGGTATGTACAACTCAAGATGAGAGGAGTTTGCCTGCAAGCTTTGCCTTATTTCTGGGACTTTGTGGAAAGGTATGCACCTTGAAATCTGTATTAGTTCTATTTCAGTGCGTATCCGTTCCCCCTGTTGATCTAGATCTTTGCTATAAGCATAACGTGGTGGTTGCTGTTGTTAGGTGCTCATGGGCGTCTTCTTTGGGAATCTCATGTTCCTTGGCATAATTCTATTTGGCACAAGGAAGTTTCTGAATGCAAAAATAGGAGATTCAAGGTAAAGCTTTCCTTCATCTTGTAGTTTAATACTTCAGTTTATATTTGTTACAATGTTTGATACTTCCTTTGTGCAAAATAAATGTTCCTTTTTCTTTGGGCGTTCGGAAATATTGGACACCATTTCACTTGCATATATTCTACACGACTTTCTAGACACCTTTCTGCTGGGTATGATTTAACCACTCAATCAGCACCATGTTCAGCCTCTATATATTTTACAGTCTATAAATGCACATGTGAGTTGCTACTTAAAAGTCATTTCAAGTAAAACAATTTTGTTAGCCCTGCAAACAAGGATTGCTTATGGTTTTTACGGAGCTTAAGAGTTTCTAGTGTCATTTTGAGGTTTTCTATACCTATCTAAGACCGGAACTCACTCTTTCTTACTGCGTAGAGAATTTATAATCCTATCTTTCTTCTATTTCGGGTTGGCTCGCACAGATGGAGTCATTAAGGATCAGTGATTACCTCTAATAATTTAATTGGTAAAGAACATGTCATGTGAGAAGAGGTTTTAGTCTAAATGATTTCCTCGGATGTCAAGTTAGCATATTCATCTTTGGAGCAGAAGTTGATTATGATTATTATTTACTTGGATTTAAATCAACAGGTGTAAGCATATATTGCTTTCGATCCTCGTTTCGAGTTACTTCAAGATTTTTGTTATTGCCATGATGGTATGTTCCTTGCTGTCTTTTGCCCATATTGGATCAATTACTTAGAAATTTTTTTGTTTCACAGTAATACTTTTCTATTAATGTTTGACTTATTTACAGGTGTGGGAATTTCCCTCTTCCGTTGTTTCCATCATTAAAATGTTTGTCTTGTCATCTAATGCACTAGCATTACTGGGTAAGAAGTTCTTTTCAAATTGATTTAAAATTTGAAGAATGTGAACTTAACTATTTGTCAGTTTATGAAATTTGTCTGACAGTGGAGATTTAACATTGTCCATGAGAGAGCCTTCTGTTTCCATCTCCAATGTGGTAACTAAGGTCATTCAAGTTTAATCTGAATCCAGGCTAAACTACATGATCTTCTATTGCAGAAATTTTGTTTTATTTTTGTGTACTCCTTTAACTGTGTGCGATCTTCGATCTTCTGCATACATAAATTATTGCATTAAACATAGAGAGAGAGAGAGAGAGAGAGAGAGTAAAAATATGTATAGGCCGCAGGGAGACAAATGAGAGGTATTTTCTAGATAAAGAGGAAATATCTGTGCGTTAAAGCACAAAACCCCTTAGTCTTTTGGTGTAAAAATGAAAATGGACACGAAGTACATAGGATGGTTAATGTCCTCAGTTCTTTTCATTGTATCTAGTGTACTAAGATGCATATTAAAAATGGTCGTGCTATACTAATCTTCTGCACTCTCTTGGTGCTATTCTTTAATACAATTTTAATTACTTCAAAGAAAAAATTATTATGCTCCAATTGAATTATGAATCAGGTTTGGGGATTAGTGAGTGGCTAGGCGTTAACTTTTCGAGGCCAGAGCTAGTTTGTCCACATTTTGATATGTCGGTGTGCCAGGTCTGCCCTCTAGTTTAGACATTCAGTTGCCTGTTGGTGTAACTTTTCTTTAATTTAGTTAAATTTCATTGGTTGTGTCCCTTTGGAAGACTTAAAAATGAAAATACATACTTTGTGACTTTGGGTGTGAAGGTATTGATTGGTAAAATTCATCAGAGCCTAGAGGTGTCGATGTTCTATCCTTCCTCTCAAGAGTTATAAGTGTGGTGTTCTTCTTAACTTATTAGTAGGATTGATATAAAAACTAACATTGGCATCTTAAAGATAGAATTCTGTGTTTTTCTAAGAATTTAGAGGGTTTGATCAGTATTACAAAGATTAGCAGAGGGAGTTACCGTCAGGGGCGGCTCGATACCCTTAAAAATGAGGCCTCCGTCTTAGGCCCCAAAATTTAAGGGCCTCAATTTTAGTAATAATAGAATTATTATAAGTATTTTTTAACAAAAAATCAAATTATATTGTCTTTCTTTTAGTTTGTTTTGAAACATTAAAGAATGTTTTTTTTCCTTTTTCAACTGTTGGGCGGACAAGTAAAAAGAAAATTCTAGTACATCAAGCTTTCCATGGTAATGTAAAAATAGAATAAGATCAACTTTTTATCAGAAGACTTTCTATTTTGTGTTTGATGACATACTTTATCGTACTGCCTAATGCTTCTTTACTTTGTTCATCACTTCATCTTGTTACCTTGTTGTCGTTATTTCTTTTCTTTCAATCCTGCTTCAATTAAACTTCTTTTGAGCTGCTTCTTTACTTTGTTCATCACTTCATCTTGTTACTTTGTTGTCGTTATTTCTTTTATTTCAATCCTGCTTTAATTGAACTTCTTTTGAGCTGAGGGTTATTTGAGACGACCTCCCTATCTACCTTACCCTCTCCAAAGCCCACTTGTGGGATCACACTGTGTATGTTATTGTTGACATACTTTACCCGATTGTGAACCAGTGATCACAGATGCGGTCATGATTCGATGCATATGGATCTGCTTTGCTGCACATGCCATGAAATTCCTTGTTACTCAAGGTCTAGGAGCATATCAAAAGCTAGTTCTTTGGTAGTCATTCAGCAGAGTTCATAAATCCATACTCTTTTAAAAAGTAGCATCTTGACATTGGCTCGAGAGTAACTTCAAACCTCCAAAAAGTTCAGGTAATGCAACAGAGGTTTCTTTAATCACGTCGTCTACATTGATCTTCAACAACATTTCAATCTCATATATTGTCGTTGATATGTTGGTTTTAGGCTGAAGATCTCATCCTGTGTTGCTTTCAGAACCATCAGATTATAGCTGGGTATCCTGAAAGGTCCTCATTTCTTTTGTCTTCGACATTTCCTATCCGTCCTTTGTCCAACGTACTAGAATAAGCTAGGTGGTGTGTTCTCAGATAGGAAAACTTTACTCTGGTGATCGCGGAGATGCCTACGTTCAAACATGGAGAGATGGGCATTGATACTCTTACTATGATAACACTAGTTGTTCTATTTTTTCATGTTTTCAGTAAGAGATATATTTATATTCTTTTGTATAACAGTCCATTTTATAATGTAGGTTAACTTTAAGTCAGGAGAATATGTATTAACTATTATTATGTTATTACCACAATTTATTCTCTTTTAGGATGATTCAATGAGTTGAAACAACTTACCCAGTAAAATCCTACAAATGGGCCAAAGAGAGTGGAGTTTACGCAGATTTTATCAGTACCTCGTGGAGGTATAGAGATTGGTTCCGTAAGATTCCCGACTTAAGTACAACAAATCTAAGTACAAAGAAAAAAGAAACGTAACAACTAATCATAGAATAATGCAAAGAAATGAACAAGAACAACAAATAATAGGATAATCGAAACATAATAGACAATAGACAATGATAGATTTCAAATCCACGTGCTTCTATGATACAACTAGTACAATGACAAACACCGACAAGTCTAAACCCTCGAGAAGCAAGACTGCTCCACTAAATAATTTCGTTATTATTTAATCTTGATATTATTAATTTCATAATCCCAACATTATAGTTATAATTCACTCATAACAACAACAACAATCTCTAAATTTTTTCTTTTTACATTCAATATAACAATAGTAACTGGAATACAACAACAATAACATTCTACACAGACCTAACAACTACCTCGAGGAGAAAAAGAGGTTGTTTTCAAAAAAAACCTCGACTCAAGTGCATCAAACCCAAGTAGTAACTAAAATACATGCATTGCTTTTAAAAAAATGAATAACAAAACACATTGCTAGAGAAGGAGAAAACATTAAATACATCACAGGTCTCCACTTCTTGTTAAATTTTTTTGTAACGTTACACATTTCTCCTCCCATAACAGAGCAATGTAGAAACAAGGAGTGTATCAAAAAGGAATACTCAAAAAAAGAGGTCAAACCCACACCCAACAACTTATAGAAGGGTTCAAAACTCAATTCACCACTCACTCCAAATACCTTACATGATTACATACACAACTAGTTCTATGTTATTGCATATGTGCAATTTATGCTATACACTTATCAATAAGTGACTGCCTGAATAATTTGAAAACTGGCCAACTCAAAAGAATTTGACATACGCAACAAAAATTTCTCGATCCTATCGAGAAGTTGCAGAATAGTCCCTTCAATGACTATTTACAGAAGCACATTGCTTTGGATGTTCGTTGTAGTGAATTCAACACACAAATTGGGTGTTGGTGTGGTTAAAACCTGGAGATATGCTTGCTTGCTCGTCAAGGACTGTTCAGATTTATTAGGTCGTCGACAACATCAGGTGAAAAGCCACTGGGTTGAAAATCAGACCGGCGAAGGACATTTGGCTGGGGATGGTCAGAGTTGCTTTGTCGGACCTTTGTGGGCAAAGGCTTGCCTGAAAAGCAGTGGCGTACACGGACACGGTGACATTTTCTTTCTGTTGAAAAGCAACCGCGGACTTTGATTGCCAACATGACTTCCTTATCCTTGGCATCTTCACACCAAGAGGTTTGAGGAACTCCATCAACAAACTCCTCAAGTGTCTGCCGGTCTTCATGGTGAACTGAAATCTCAACAATTTGGTCCGGTGCAATGACGCCAACTGCAGGATTAACCTGTTGAAAGTTGACCCAAATGCATAAATTCTTAAAAATCAATATTTAGTGTGAAAATTTTAGCTTAAGAAAAACAGTAAATAAGTACAACATGCTAGAATAGCAGATTTGAAGATACATTGGAACCCTAACCCTTTCCAAAATGGAGCTTGGTGTAGGTATAATTATATCCAAATCATTAAACACAGTTATTAATAAGTCCATTTTACTCATTTACTACCAATTTCATCTTCTCAATTTGATTAAAAAAAATGTTCCACTACGACATTTTCTTCATTTCCATACTTCAGTCTTCTGCTATCATAAGTTCTCTGTGGTCTAGTTAGGTTTAAGGGCTCACAACCAAATAAGATGCTAAGGGAGGCGTAGAACTTCTGACGCTCATGAGAATGTTCAGAATGACAAAAAAAATTTAGAAAGAGGAAACATAAAAAAAAAGGGGGGAAAGAGTAATCGCTATGGGAAGTCTCACAAGAACATAGAACCCAGGCCATTAAGCCCCAGGCACTACAATGACAGAGAAGATCCAATCCTCTACTTTAAGAAATGGAAGTTACCTCAAGCCAACGAGGGAAACCAAAAGAACCTCTTGGACGATAATCAAACACTTGTCCATCATCTTTAACTGTGGATTCGCCTTCACAAGTTATTTCAAAAATAGCTTTGTTTTTCCCACTCTTATTTGTAATGCGCAAGATGGATGCATCAGAGTTCAGGAGGATTATATTATTTGTGCTGACTATTGCTTCTGGAATTCTATTAAGTTCCCGAAGCATATGCACAACTTTCTCGTCTGATCTAATGATTTCTCCATATTCTTGCCTTCTCACTGATTCATCCACTCGAGCAATCTCCACATTGAATATGCACCTTACAGGTTTGTGGTCACTATCTGTCACATCCATGCAAGCTTCATACCTGCCAAGGAGAAGGCTTTTAGAAGAGTAGGAACAGAGGAAACAGAAAAAAAATAAAATATATATATATATAGAAAAGGTGGGCAATGATTGATGCACATAAATATGACAATAAAAGGAGTGTGTGGGGGGTGGGGATGGGGTGGGGGCTCAATTATTGAAAAGCGAATAGAGAAATGAAGGATGAAACACCAATTCTTGGTCTTACTCTTGTATAAAGGAAAACAAAATGAACTGGAAGAAGAAAAATAAAAGCCACAGAAATATTATATGAAAAACTTACTGCAGAACTGATGAGACGACAGGACAATCTAAGCTGCAAGTGGAACCTGAATTGGAACGGCTATCACGATACAAAATTCTGTCACACCAGGCAGGAATCCGCTTCTTTTCACCAGAGTCATACCCTTTAAATGACACAATGAGACGTTATAACCATATCAGACATTCAGAAGAGAGAAACATAGAAAGGACGAGAGAGAGAGAGAGAGAGCACGTGAGAGAGGGAAGCGTTTCCATTGTGTCTAGAAAATATGAAAGTCAACTGCAGAACTGATAGCTACAGGTACCTGCTAAGCCATTTTGATGCCTCTCAAATTTGTATGTTGGAGGAAATCTGATGACGGCTTCACGCATTCCTTGGAAGACATTCCCAACTTCCATCTCTGTGTGCAACTGGTCCCTCTCTCTAAGCCAATCAAAGCTCCTTTGGGAAATAAAATCTCTTGCTTCATCATAAGAAATGCCATCAAGCCGATAGTTCAAGTCACCAAGAAACACAACCATATCTGCCTCAGAAAGCTCAGGAGTTGCTTCTGCAGAGTTAAACGCACCCTGACAAGCATAATTTAATTTTTTTTATTCTGTACCAATTGAAACATACTGCTCCAAAGAAAGAAGCAAATATTTTAAGAAGACAATTATAGACTAGACTATTACTCCCTCAATCCTTTTTTAGTTGTCATCTTGCGCTTTTCGAAAATCAATTTGACTATTAAATTAGATTTTACATTAATTTGTTATTTTGAACTAAAATTTACATAATCAAAAACTATACGATAAGTACTATAAATTGCAATTTTTTGGTTCGTCAAAGTTCTTATCGTTTGACTCTAAAAAAGGGAACCATGATTCCATGACAACTAAAAAGGGACGGAGGGAGTACAATTTAAGTAAGTACATACATTTGCACTGCGAAGCATTTGAATCGCAGATGAGACACCAGCTGCAACAAGAATTACCAATGGCAACCGAGAACCATAAGCAACCCAGATTAAAAACATAGAGCAGGCAAGCAAGCAAGCTGAGAATAGGTATGGCACTATACCAGCTGCAGCATTGAGAAAGTTTGATGGTCGACTAAAGATCATACTTCGATAAACATGGTCAAAATCAGCATTCCGGCGACCGACAGCTTCTAGATGTGCAGCAAAGTGACAGTTCACAAAGCACACAGTACGATCATATACTCTCATCCTTAATCCTACGGCTCCCTGTTTGGAGGACCTCAACCAAAATTAATACCAAATAAGAGAATGGTTCCATACTTGTCAAAAAGACCAAAAGAATTAAGGAATGGTTAACTCAGTTGCATAATAAGGGTCACGCAAATAAATCGTTTCAATGGAAGTTCAAGATTATGGTAGTATTATTAGTGTTCATATGAAGAAACTTACAGTTAGAATAATTGTATTCTGATAGAATTGTGCTCCTTTCTCTGGTGTATTAAAGAGCTCTAAATATACTTTTGGTGGCTTTTTCTTTTTCGGCACAAGCATGACTTAGGTCTGACTCCCTATATTGCCCATTTTTCAACAACACGCACCCAAAAAAACCCAGGAAGAAATCATGCTTAAACCTATTTTATGACAAAAGCCTAGGAAGTGTTGTAGGGTGATTCCAAGTAAGGGAAAAGTTCTGAATCATAACTTACCTAATTCTGTTCTTATGTTTCTAAATACAACTAGTCACCACCAAATAATTAATTTGTTCTCAACTTTCAGCATAATATAATTAGATCCATCAAGAAACAGTAAAAAGGAGAACACAACCACACCTTGTTCCCAATTGCACGGCCGAAACCACAAGGTACTGCTGCAACATCAACATCCCCGATATAACGACTAATATTTCTTCTGACCCTGAACAATAGTTTTGATTTACAGATATCAGATATTTATACAAATAGAGGCGCCAGTTCTTTTTTTTTCTGATGAAGTTAGAGGCCCCGGCTCATTAAATCTAGCTTGTTAGATCATTTGTTCATCAAAAGGAAATTGTTTAGATAGGCATCAGATTGAACGCGCTAATTCTAGTTTACATACAAAATAATCAGGAAAGTTGACTTCATTCATCTGACAACAAATTGTGTTCCATATTTGGAATAAAGGAAGAGTTAGGGTTAAATCGTGCGACTTTTTTCATATGAAAAAAAGCTGGAACTCGTGACTTAAGTCGAAAGAGAAGATGCAAAGAGAAGTTATCTAGTACAAACATATTGCATCTTGAGGTTGGTGTTGACGAAAAAATTCTTGATGTGGGTATCTAAAGATTGTAAACTTCTCGTTACCAGCCATGTATTGAATTCACATTTCATATCAAGTCATGTGAAACCTAATGTGGGTCCTCTGAAGCAGAAAACAAAGAACCCAACAGTGTGAACTGACAACGTCAGCTTAAAAGCTAAATACCAAAGTTACCCAAGGTTTGTGCACTGGAATCAGGTTTCATAAGCAATACCCTACCAGACAGAAATAACCAGGCCCGCCAACTGCCTGAAGCCAACACGAATGAAAGTTGATCCCTCATCCAAGGTTTTTCCAATCATTTCCAACCACCATTGACCAGCAGAACTTCCTTCAAGACCCACCTGCATCTGAAATGTGTTTTAAAATGTTACAATTTTTCATCTCTTCTATTAGTATATGTCTAAAGGGTTTAGTATAACAAAGAATGCAACTGCCATAGGAACAGAAACCAGGATGGATAGAAAAAAGTAACCCACAGCTAAATAGGAAGATGCAAGTCTAGATCATATTATCTTTATCCTGAAAAGGCTCTTTGACTTTAACTAGAGCCATAATATAAAATTACATGTAATTTAAAACATTAAAAAGACATTTTGATGATAAACAGTAGTTATGTCTTGTCTTTACTGATCAGGCAGGGTGATATATTTCCTTGTATTTGTGCCTTCTCTTTCCAGATAAGTACAAGCCCCAGCTTTCTATTAATGACATTTCTGTAATTGGTATATTGAGAATAATATTTCATGGACTAAAGCACTTAGAGAAAGAACAGACGGAAAAACAGTATGTTCAAGTAGATCATGAGATCATTCTAGTGATAAGCTTATCACTAGATGATATGTTGACCATTCTAAGGGTCAATCAGATTCTAGGAAAGAAAATTCATGGAACTTTTTTTAATAATTGACAATCAACGTAACCTAGAGAGAAAACAAGCATGAATTAGCATCCTCTAGACCCTGGCCTCTGTAGAAGGTTCTCATATTCTACCTTGAATACACACACACATATATTTAAAAGCAGATTAGTTATTAAGAGATGAACCTTTTGTAGTAACTTGTTTTACTGTCTAGCTACCAATCAAAATTATCAGTATTTTGCCCATGGTTTCATTCAGCATACAAAGTTACCTCCAGCAAGAGAGGTTTGATGGTCCTAATAAAATGAGCGACTATATGGTGTTTGTATGCGATAACAAAAATAAATGTTCTTGTGCATTAGAGGCACTTTCATGTGTGACTAAAATACTCTTCTCCTCCAAATAGTCACTGACCAATTAAAAACTTGTTCCTCTCATTTACAGGGTTCTTACCATTTTATAGCTTAGTCGAACAACTATCTAGACATTTCTGAGAGAAGAAAGTAACACCAGTTTGAAGAGAAAAAAGAGGACAGCTAGGATAAGGATAAAGAGGGAAAGAGAAATCTTACTGATTCTTTAGCAGCAGACATTGCAAGAAAACCAGCACCCATGTCCACCTCCTGCAAGCCAGCAACAACAATGCCAACATCTGCTGCTGCAGAACCTAACCATGATATAAGTGAATCAGGTGAAGCTCTTCCTTGTCCAACATTCCATGTACCAGCCAATATTTTAAAATTCTCTAGCCTAGTATACAAAAATTCCTTGCTAGCTAACTCCGAACGCAGAATACCATCCAGTGGTGCAGGAGATATCACACTCCAACCCCGTATACCACCATGATTAGCCAAAGAGAAAGCGTAACCTCCACCAACAGAAAAATCTATTACGGGGCTACTATGACCTATCCATCCTCCAAGTAGATTACCACTAAGATCCAATACCTGAATATAACCACTAGCATAACCTGCCCAAATCCGTGACCCATATGTGCATAAACATTGAACGGAGAATGTGTGATACTGGAAATCTTGCAAGCGATTGCCATTTCTATCCCATTGGACAAGTAATCCATTTGCACATCCACTCCATATCATTCCATCGACTGTAATAATCAACGCTTCAGTCCTCCGGTTATCTTCTCCAAATCCTCCTTTTACCGCAACCCTACGGACAGCATCAGCTGCTCCTAAGATAGCATTGCGTGAACGCTGAAAGAAGCCGATAGAACTTTGAGACTTGTCCTTTTTTGAATTGGACACAACTTTCATCCTCATTTCATCTTCAATTACAGGATCTACTGCTGCTAATATATTTTCAACCTGACCATCTGTGTTAAAGATTTTCAGTAACTCTCTAGTCCGTGCATCCCTGCATGCAAAAGCAATTGACAAGAAACGATCAACAAATCAGAACCAGATGACCTAAAAATTAGATTTCATTTCAGAACACACACAGAATCTAACAGAGCAAAACCTTAGACATGCAAATATAATCTATCAGATGCACTACAGGTTTACAACAACATATCCAAGTGTAGTGTAGTCCCCCAAGTGGGATCTCAGGAGGGTAAGATGTACTCAAACGTTACCCCTACTTTGTGGGGTAGATAGGTTGTTTCTGATAGATTCTCGGCTCAAAAGAGAAGATAGTAGAAGTAGGGTTGCAAGAAAAATATGTCAGCAAAATATCAAGATAAAAAGCAAATAAAGCAAAATACTGTAAAACACCTTGAAGAATAAGAAACTACAACATACCCAATGTAATCCCAAACAGTGGAGACTAGGGAGGGTAGAGTGTACACAGACCGCAGAGGTGAGATAGAGATTGTTTCCGATAACTCCCATAATAAGAAACTACGTGATTACAAAATACTACTCCATCCGTCTACTTTTACTTATCCACTATACTAAAAATAGATATCCATTTATAATTGTCTAGTTTAAAAAATCAAGAGATAATTTATCATTTAGTTCCAAATTTATCCTTATTATTAAATAATCATTTCACACAAAGCATTGAATTTATTATATTCAAAGGATGATATAGTAAAATTGTCAATCTATTTATTGTTTCTTAAGGGGTGTACGAAGTCAATACCAAACAAGTAAAAATTGACGGAGTCAGTACTACTAATAAGGTTGTGAGGAGACGGGCAAGCGCCCCGTCTCTCCCATCTAAAGGGTGACAACACTCGGATATCTACGAACTCCTAACCTGATCCTCAACCTCCACACCTTCCTACCAAGGGTCGTGTCCTCAGTGATCTGAAGTTGCCATATCCTATCTAATCACCTCCGCAAATGTTTCTTTGACCAACTTCTACCTCTCCTAACTCTTGCTATAGTCAACCTCTAACAACTCCTTACTGATGCATCCACACACCTCCTCTTCACATGCCCCAAACAATATGACAGAAATTCAAGACTAGCACATCCATCTTAAACTAAAGACATGCCTCTGTGAGTTTATTGATGAAAGGCTGAGGATCAATCGAATTCAAAAGTGGCAAGTATAACATTCTTACGTTTGTTCATTGTAACATTAAGCGATTATAAAGTAAATGGTGCTAACAATGCAAAAACTACCAAAACAACATAAATGGGGAACTTTGTCTCTAAAATGATTCAGAAGGTACTTACCAAAGTGCAAATGACACATAACCAGCCGTCCAAACTTTTGCTCCAGAGCGATCAGACAGCATATATTTGACATCAACAGAAAATATGCTATTGCCTGTTCCATTATGCATAACTTGGCTCCTTAGATCCACATATGACCTCTCTATCGACAAAGCAGCCATGTGCCTTTCCTCATATATCAGAGCAATCGCTTTCTCCATTCCTTCCCAAGGCCAGATCTTGATGGAACCACCCTCAGATCCAGACCACAGATCGCCTAAACAAAAGTGCACATCAGAACAGAATCAAGCACATCCTTTTTTATTTATAAAGATTAGTAAAAGAAAGCACATCCTCTTGAGTTACTACTACCACTAACATTTACTTTTTGTTGATCCTAAAACCGGCTTTTTGCCAATCCTCTTTTAAATGGAACTCCTTTTACTCATCAATAAGAAAAAAGACACCAAGAAGGCCACTTTGGATATCGGTGCATCACACTGCAAGTCAAAAGTGAAAAAGAGATCCATCTAAACTATTTCTGGTAGCAGAAGAGAGGATGCAAGCTCAGAGCCTCTTCTTCTTTCAGTAGCAGCAATCATGACAGCAAGTTGTTTTCTTGGCTACATTGAACTGCTTACTTGTGGGGAAGGACCACGGCCATTGAAGTGGATAACACAGTATATATAAAGTTTCTCTCTTTCTCTAGTAAGGGATATAAATTCTCCAACACCATTGCACTACAACATGATTAACAACCTTCCTAATCCTATCTCATCATAAATACAATAGCATCTTAAAGCCTACACTATTTGAGCTTTTATAAGTAATAAGTGTTCTGGGAAAATCAACATTATCTTATAATCTCCTAATTTTCCCTGAACACATGAAATGATCCTAAAACTTGTCAAAAAAGATGAAAAATACTGCAACTACATTTTTGTTCCTTCAGCACCAAGGTAAAAAAAATAGTATACAAGTGGTCTTTAATCCTAGGCTTTGCCTATCTGACTGCCTATTTACTACTGTAATCGCAGAACAATAAAAGCATAAACTTTCTTAACAGCTCGTATAAGATGATCAAGCACATTCAAGGGCTAACATTACCAAAGTTTAGAATCTAAAGTGCCAAAAATGCAATATAGAAACTACTTGCAATTTACACAACACAGATATTGCATAGTTGATGCAATTGCACAGACAGGTATTTGAAAAAAAACTCAAACTTTACCATAGGAAGTCATGATCATGGAAAGAACTGGACTGCGATGAGCCTGCCACGATAGCACTTCTTTCAAAGCAGCTTTTCCACAAACACCTTTCTCTCTACTGCTAGTTTCACTGTCCATCTTCCAACACATGATTCTACCATCTTTGTGTCCACTCCATAGCAACCTATTCCCAGCATCTTCAACAAGGCACAAAGTTGGTGAAGTCCTACCAGACTCCAGAAAAGGTGCGGCATCCTCAAAGTCCTCATTCTCTTCTTCTTCTTGAGCAGCCTCATACATATCCGGTAAATTCCACAGCCTAACTCCACACTCCGACCCAGCCCATAGCTGAGATCCATCGTCCGTACACAATATAGTCCTCAAAAATCTCCCAATTTGTCTTTCTCTCAACGGGTGTGGCCGTAATTCCAACGACGGCGGACGATCAGGATGCACAGCGGCACGTACCGGCAACTTAAAAATCCCAGCACCACCACCTTTACCTGAAAACTCCGGAAGACCTTGAGACTGACTCTTAACATTATTATTACTATTAGAACCAGCTGTTTCCGAACAAATCTTACGGTCAAGGAATTGAATCATATTATCAAGCCGTTTCCGTACAACCCCATTTTGACCTGAACCAGAACTGAACTCCTCATCATCAGAAGATGAAGAGCCGTAGAACCGGTCAAACAATTTCGGAGTTCGCTCCGTCTCATCGAAGCTAAATTTCCTACCGGAACTTCCGACTCTATTGACATCTCCGGCGCCGGCGACGTCGTCGGAATCGGAGTCGGAGTTGAAAACGAATTTTTCACTGTAGCAGTGGTAATTCCGGCGACCGGTGGTATTTGAACTAGAAGCTAGAAAATCGCCGTCGTCGTCGTCGATTCGAGTATCCATTTCGGTTGAAGATAATCGCGAAAATCTAGAGAATTGTTTTGGGGAATTTTGGACATAACAACGAAGATAAAGGGCTTTATTAGAAAGAAAAAAAAAGTTGAATTTATGTTATTATTCTTTTTATTTTCACTATTATTCTTTTTGTTCTTTTTATGATTTCTTTAATGTTTATAATTTATTTATTATTTTACGCGGAATTATAAACTCATATAGTAATATTTTACTCAAAATTTATTTTTTTGCGAGAAGTATAATCAAGTACAGCTCATCTTAAATTTTAATTCGATAAAGTTTAATTTAAAGTGAAATACATTTGAAATCTATAGTCAAACGTCTATTTTAAGTTACATAATGTTGAGTAGCTAATAGGTTATTTAGTTTTACATATCATTCGTGCTTCATATTTTCGTACTAAAAATCATCATTTCAGCATTTCTTTTGTTGACAAGTAAATCCATAAATACGTATATCACTATCCAATACGAAAGTAGGTCTCCAGACAGAAAAATAAATCGTATTAGACAAGTTCGTGCAACAACTTGATCATCAAACTACATATGAGGGGCATAACATATTAGGCAAGCTTGATCGAGAAAACGTGTATGAGGAGACTTTGAGGTTGAAAACTTCTGTCCCTCCTGTTCGTTTGGAAAATCACCTGCTTGATCAACTCGGACATTTTGCGGGGCACCGGTTTGTTATTGATAAGTTGTTTTCTATAAGACATTTGTCAGCTAATAATTGACTAACAAGAAGTCATTATCAAAGGACACATGTCTCTTCAAAATGAAAAATTCAAATGAATTTATTAAGAAATTGTCATTTTCATTGTAATTCTCTTATAGGAAAAACATTATCTTATCTTTTATTTTCTTGGAAATTTATTTGATATTTTGATTCTAAATTGAATAATATTTGAAAGAAATAGAGCATTATTTGTTAAATTAAAAACTTTATTATTGAAATTTTTTAGAGATAATTGTGGATAACAATTGATATATATCAAGACCATGCATTTATGTTTTTTCTTGTTCATAATTCTTTTTTCTTTTTTTGAAAAAATAATATTAATGTTACTTTTTCTTTCTTTTATTAAATCAAAAATCTAAGTTTATTTATGTTTATTTCAAATATAAGAATATTATAACATAAGAAAAATATTGTTTGACTTTGATTATTATTTTTTTCACTTTCTAGTATAATAATGTAAAAATGGGATGATTTTCAATATTAAAACATCTTTGTTCACCTATAAATAATAAAATATCATAAATTGCTCAACTATATATAAAATAAAATATTTTCAATTTAAAATACATGTTGTAAATTATTGGTACGTAATAGAATTTGAATATCTTGGTGACCATAATAGTAGTTTAACAATTATTATGGTGACACGATGTTGGGTGGGAATTCTCGAAAATATGGAGTCGTTTTTGTTAGAAATTTTATCATTTAACACTATTTTTTTAACATCAAATCAAATATAAACGAATTTTAATGTCAGTATTAAAAAATGAAATTTGGAAGATATTATAATTTATCCCCTCTTTATTCATATTTATTTCTTCGTATTCGATTTGACATATTCTTTAAGAAATATTAAATAAAATAATTATTTTATTTTTTATAAGTCATTAACATTAACGTAATTTTTGATTTTTTTAAATTAAACAAATAAAAATCAATATTTATTTTTCATATAGTAAATAAATACGTTAAAAGCAAATAAAAAGAATAATACGTCATAAATTTAGAATATCAATCATTCGTTAACATATTGATTAACTATTTGAATTTTTCAATTTTCCAAGAATTGAATTTCGTACCTCGTAATCTCTTATCCCATTCTTTTGTGTATTTCGAAAAAAAAATCTTCAACTTTATTTTTAATTTTCAAATATGAATTAAAAGTCGGAAAAAAAATATAAAAATATTATATATATTATATGAAGGAGGATTTGCTTGTTACATTGCTACGTGGAACGTGTATATTCAGATTCTTTGTGATTCATTTTTTCAACATGATCTATATAAAGAAATAAATTAATTAACACAATTATTATGATGACGTTTTATTATATACTTTGTCAATAAAAATTTAATTCATCCCTCTTTGCACATTTTAGTCTTCATCAATCACGTTAAAATGAAAATTTGTATATAATAGCAAATTATTAGTTTAATTAAATATTATAAATATAATTCAATTTAATTGTATCTCATGGCAAATTATGTTATTTTTGCCTTTTTTTCTGATGGAATCTCGCTCGCTACTTTAGCGGTCTTGCTCGTCTCTCTCGCCTTTATACAAACACAAATGTATAAAATATATTTGTATTTGTATAAAATGAGAGAAAATTATATATATATATATATATGTATATATATATATATACGTACATATATTTTCATTCTCTTGTTTCCCCTCTTCCAGATTTCGCTCGCCACGCTAATTTCATACAAAAAATAATGTATAAATTGTGTTTGTCTTTGTATAAAACGAGAGAAAATTGTATATACAAATATAAATGAATAAGTTTTCGTCCTATACACTTATGATTATACAAATACGATATTCCCCTGCCTAGTTTTCTTTTATCTTTCTCTCTTTCTCGCTTTACACAAAATAAATTATACAATTGATTCTTTTACATATGTATGTCAAAACAGATTATACAATTGTTTCTTTTGTATATATGTATAACGAAACAATCATAGCTTTTATTTGTATATGTATAGTGAAATATATATATTTTTGTTTATTATGGAATGCAATTATACAAAATATTGTTATAACATACAAATATATTTTTTATGTTTGCCGTATATAAAAGCTTCTAAAAAAAGAAAAGGTATTATTGGGTGAAAGTGTCTTATCATAATATATAGAACAATAATTAAATTGAGTTCATTTTTTGGTTTATTTAAGATTTATATTTATTCTATTATCTATTAAATTATTTTAATAATTCGATAAATGTAATTTTTATAAAGTCCGTCAATATTTGCTTAGGTATACATATTAAAGGAAATATTAAAAGTAAACTATGATTTAAAAAAAAATTATTATTCTTTAACTCTTTTATTAGGGAATAAATTACAAAAATATATTGAAAGTTTACACTTTGCGTAATTTCTCAATGTATAGAATCATCCATATATAACGAAAACAATAATTACTATATCTCACTCCAAAAAAATAATTAATTTTTATTTTTTCTAGATGAATTTAATTAGAGAAAATAAATACAAGAATAAGCTAATATCCACTAAAATGTAAAAGTGACCACATAAATTAATAGACATTTGCTAAAGTGGGCCTAAATTTGATCAAGATCATTATAGTTTTGGGCTTTAAAGTATTCAATGTTGGCCCATTCAAAAAGTAGAAGAACTTTACTTGTACTTCACTCTATATATATCCTCATGTAACTTTGAGGAAAAAGATAATATATTTTGGGAAAAGGATCTACATGGAAGCATATAATTTCAACGGTTAATTACATAAATCTCATAGTTTTAATATAAAATTATAATATATTTCTAATAAGTTTATAATTACATTAATCCCTTAAAAATTAAAAACACGGATACAATTATTGAAGCTCAAATACATTAATATGTAGTTTGGATATATTAAATACTATCCCGGTACATTAAAATCTAGCTTGGATACATAATATGTAGCTCAGATACATTAACTACTGTCTCAGATACATAATATGTAGCTCAGATACATTAGTATGCAGCTTGGATACATTATATTAAAATGAGGTATTTTGGAGATTTTTAAAAGTAATAAGTGATAACGGAAACAAGTGAAACAAAAAAAGGTGTGTATTTCTGTAATTTGTCCTAATTTCAATGTTCGGTATTTTCATATTTTGATGAACTCAATAATAAATGGGAACTTACACATATAGGCACTCAAAATAACTTAACTAGGTTCTACAGTTATAGTTTGATGATTACGATTCATAACGACATGTTGGGGAGGAGAGAGGAGAGCAAGAATAGGAGAGGGGGAGAGAGGAGAGCGAGATTGAGAGAGGGAGGAGATAAGAGAGCGAGAGGTGCAATGATTTGTATAATTCACATCTATTTGTATAATTGAGTAATACAAATTCTAGAATTATACAAATGTGATAAAACTAGAAATAACGAATTGATACAAAATAAACATATGAACTTATAAAAAGTTATACATATTATATTATATAAATTATATTATATAATATTCAAAAATTACACGTTCATACAAACTTAAAAGATATATAAAAAAGAAGATTGAATGTATACGTTGATAAAACTGAAAAGCCAAAGGAAATCATCGTCAAACACAAATGCAAACCATCGTCTACAAATACAATTCAAAGGAAGAATTGTTAGTTCTAAATTTTATAAATGTGACGAAATATATAAATGAGGCTAATTATACAAATTCGAACCAAATTCACGTAATTAACTGTTAATGTTAGTTGCGAGTGATAATTATAATAAACTATAACTATGATGACTAATTAAGTAGTATAAGATTGCTTAACCACGTAATTTTCTCTTTAACATAGGAATTTGCTTGAAATTCAAGTTAAGAAAATGAGTCGCAAAGTGATTAAACAAATTATTACTTACCCTTTTTTCAAAGGTTATGTTAATTATTAGGTAAAGAATCTTATTCCTCTTATCTTCATTTTAGAGTCTTAAGCTTCTCATCTTATTATTATCGTTATCCTAATTATTTGTTATTTCAAACATTTTTTAATTGTTATTTAACAATATGATTGTTAGAATTACTATTTCAAAGACGTAATTGAGTTATATTTTTTTTATTAATACAAATGAAGAATTTGAATTTATTGCATCTTTGGTATTTTATTTTATTACTTTACAATTTTAAATGTAAATTGTAAATTTCAATTTTACACTTTCTCCTCCATTTTAATTTACGTGACATATCATATGATTGGACATATAATCTGAAGATTTTTTTTTTAGAAAAATATAATTTAAAATGAATCTCAGATTTTATGTTGGTTATATGAATTATTTCATGACATAATAAAAATTTTAAAATTA